ATTGACAGAATGATATTGTTGCTGTCTGTAGAGACACTGTAAGCTTTGGTGGACAATGTCAGTAGCTCAGCAAGCAGAAGCACAAAGATATTTAAAAAACATAAAGTGCAATCATCATCATTTCCCTTTGGTATTAACTTTAAATATACTATGGCTAATGGTTGCACAGTGTTGAGGTAGAAAAGAAGAAGTACACCATGTAGAGTTAAATGAAGAGAACGAGTATATAAATAACAGTACAAAATCATATATTAGATAGTTTCGATCGCGAACATACAAATAGAATAAACAACCATCAAATAATCGACAAAAAAAACCAAAGCTCAAAAACATGAATATAGCATTCACCATAAAATCGAATTCCACTTGTGAATGTGGATGGAGAAAAGACCCACACCCATACCCTCGGTGACTATTATGAAGATGAGTAGCATCGTTCAATGTTAGCCAAATAGAGAAAAAAAATACAGGGCTTCTCGAAACTGACTTGACTAAGTGTGGTACTTTTTTTATTTGTAAATGATAAATGTTCTCTCTAACTTGACATAGTCCTTACTAGATTCTATATCGACAATACCAATAAAAAGGTGACGTTATTTCTTTCTCTTCCTTCTTTACTTGTTCAGTTTTTTATAAAATCAAAATTTTTATTATTGAAAGCTTCATCTATCGTTCTCAATCATGTCAAATAAGATTAATCAGTATAACATTTCTCCGATTTACATTATTAAAACAAGTTTAAATATAATTTTTTCATTGAAACGAGAAATACTAGTAGTTTTCAATAACATTAAGCATCGATTTATTATCCGATTAATTTCTGAAAATCAAGAATAAATTTCGCATCTTTTTTATTTAAATAAATAAACTAAAACTCAATTGTTGATGTCAATAGAAATGTTTATCGATTTGAATAAATTTTTTTAATAATTCAATTAGATCAGCATATTTCTTAACATCAATGAGATAGGATTGACTGAAATATGTACTTTTTTCTTAATGTCTGTCGAATCAATTAGAAATTATTATAATTATAATCAATCATTCAATTTTTATTTCTCTTCTTTCATATAATCACTTTATCAAAGACCATTAATATCCGTTTCAAACATTTGATCATGCATGATCCAGATTAATATCGTTAACCAACTTCCTTTAAATATAATGACTTTGTTATAACTAGACGTTGTAATTGAGCACTAGAGAGATATACTGCATTACCAGTTAAATTTTTTATGTTAGAATTGTTAATGTTTCATATTCGATATCAAGACTTAACAAACAAGATGAATACGTTTTTGTTTCAAAAAAGAAATTGTTTAACATAATCAATATATGTTCAATTTAAATAAAGTTCGGCGAGATGAGCAAATATGATCAATATAGATAAATATTACTTGTTTAATTATAGATAATTTTTGAAGAAAAAGAAAGTCTTGAGAAATAATTTTGAATAATTCATTTCAATCATTACTAACCATTGAATGTTATCGAACTGAAATACCTAAAAATGGATAGTTTTTAACATAAGAATCAACTTGTTCCTTTCTTCTTGCGATGAGAGATCAATTTTTACATTTCTATTATAAACCATAGTTGATACACTAAACACAAAAAAATTAGGTGGTCATTTTGTAGATGAATACAATCGATACAAGTTGATTTGATTCTTATTATCGAACGAAGCAATGTTATTATTTTAAAATTTGACATTTGACAAAACTATATCTAACATAAAAAAAAGAAACAAAAAAGTATAAATACTTTTAATTATCCTAATAGTCAAATAGGACAAATATTCATCAAGAAGACGAAAATAATCATCGAAAAGATTGAAATAAATGTTTAATGTAGTTAAATTTGAAGATGCATAAATGGTTGATGATAGAATAGAAATCAAAGTTGTTAGGTTTCGACCAATGAATCATTGACTAAATATCTAATCATTCAGACAGTTACATATTAACATAATTGATGCAAACATATTTTATTCTTTTTTCATAGCTGTATCTTATGTTATTTCCTCGTCATTTGCTACAACCGGAGATGTTATTTGTTCAGTAATAAGATGACGAAAAATTGTATCACCTTAAATAATGTAATAAAAATTTTGTTGTTGTTGAAACTTCACAAGTCATAACAATTGAAGTTGAGAATACTCAATAGTATGACGAATACGTTGCATTTCCATGAGTTTGGTCCAAAACTTCACTCTCTATTAGAAAAATACATTCAACAATGATTTCTACTTCAAGGTCATATCACGAATATAAAGACAATCAAGTATTAATTGATCAAATTCTTGGATCGAGAAGAGTAGTCTTCTTGTTGTTGTTTATAATGTTTATATTTGAATGAATGTTGTACATTTGCGTTTATTGTTTTCTCTCTATTCACATTGATACCTTCGTCACTATCCGCAGCAATATTACCATTGTTATGTTAGATAATGATGAATGCCTAATGTGTTTTTTTTTGCTTTCGATTCGTATTTTTTTTTCATAGCTAAGGTATTGATGCGTTTCATCACCACATTTGTGTCAATATAAATATTATTAATCACATGTAATATATGAGTACGCTGTCAATGTTATTTTTCAACAAACAACATGACCAATTTATTTCGTTTAAAAACAAGTTAAAAAGCATAAACAATAACAAAATCGTCGCTTATAGATAATATTTGTGTACAGATACGAGTCTCATCTTCTGTCACACGGACACACAGGCACATTTACAGTTCAGCTTTTCAGAAGAATTTTTTCAAATCTTTCATGAAATTATCAATACACTAATTTTGTAATGGCGAAGAAAAAAAATTTTTTACTACATACATTTTTCTTGTCAAACCTTTAAAATATATGAAACTTAATCAAAGTTTAATGAGTTTTGTTTATTTTTTTTTCAAGATCAACGAAATAAAACATCTTTTTTTTTATTATTAAACTTTTCGAACGTATGTCTTTTGTATATGTCAGATAATCACAATGAAATTTAGGATCATAACTTGTCAAAACTACAAATCAGAGGAGATTATTTCCAGATGCACTAGTAATACTTCGATAAATTATAGCTCATAAAGCAAAGAATATAAAAAGTAATCAATAAAAAATAAGTTAGTGATTTGAACTTTTATTTGAAATGTAGAATCAATGATCACAGCGGCTATATTTTTCTAAGTATGGATATGTAAAAAGATTTAGTTTATCAAAAGGATACAAAATAACATTAGAATGTGTTACAAAGCTTAGAAGATATTGTTTATAAACTAGATACTTAAAAAAACGTTCATTATCTTTATGGGCAAATCTTGTCGATTTACTCATGTGTTACCGATCTAACAACCAAAGCAGAGGTTTTATAATTATGTTCTGGTAGCAGTGTTGCGATTTCGGCATCAAGCTTTATGATTGGTCCGGCATCATCGTTTGGTTTTTCCATCGTTTTTGTAGTTCTAAAAAAAACGTGATAAAAAAAAGCTTTATTTGACCGTAAAACTTACTGATCATTTTGTTTAGTATTATTGGTAGTTTGTTGAGTTGCCTCGTCCATATCGAAATAGATCCAAAAATGAATGACTAAAAGGAAAAATAACACGAAATAAATACATAAGAAATAGTATTATTTTTTTGTTTCTTTATTTTCCACCAATCGATGGAGATGTAATTGTAGGTAAAAGTAAATGCAATGACTCAATCGATGTTATCTTTATTTTTACGCTTCACGTGTAGGTTTTTCTGTGTACATAACATTTTCAAAATAACATATTACCTATCATGTCCATTTCAAAAAAAAAAGAGGGACGGCATTTTTTTTTCTAATAATTTTCGATCGAAATAAGATAGAGAGCTGTGGTTTTCATCTTTAAAAAGAGAAAATAAAGATGCATCGATTTGTACATGACAAGTCTTTTTCAACTTGGTTTTTGTGTAAGATTTCAATTGTTATTTTCGAAAAAAAAGTATCCTAATGAGGTGACTACACTAAATTTTGAACTATCAGGTTTGAATCCAAACTGCCAATGGAAGACCTAAGAAACTACACAAGTTTTAGATTTTTAGATTTAGTTATTTAGGAGTCATAAATAGGCAAGCTGAAATTGTTGGTCTATTTTTCAAGTAATTGCCATGAACAAAAATCATATTTTAGCTTTTGTCTTATGTTCAAAGAAATTATTTTTCTCATCTTAACATGCTATTTCAAACAAAAAAAAGCTATTGGCTACAATTAAACGCTTTAGAAAATTCTGGAATGCACGATCAAAAAAAGCACAACCAAAGAAATCATTAAAAAATTTATCAAAAAAAAAGATGCCGAATAAAAATACCTTGTTGTTTCTGAAAGATCAAACTAAGGACTAACTTTCCTTACATTTATTTTGATTTAAATCACTCTGACGAACATAGACCCTTTTTTTTTAGAGAAAGGTCTTGAATTACTCATTTAACAATAAACTAAACTTGCAATACAAAATCTCAGATGAAGTTTGTCTAAGAAGAATGAAAAAAAAAATCCTCAAAATTATTAATATTCATATTTTACTACATGTCAATTACAATTGCACGAAGCACAAAGTTAACTGTAGTTGTTGTGACGATGCTTTCATGGTGTATTATTACTTTTCATTTCTCTCTTCGAACAGGAAATTTCAAAACTATAAATAACTTGCGGCATGAAGTAAAAATAAAGACATTGAAACGACAAAATTCTCTACCCCCACGCACTCTAAAACAATCATACATTTGAACAGAACAAACATATTCAACATTTTCACC